GTATTTGAACTTCGTAATTAAGACTTTCCCAATGGGAAATAGGATGAGAAGCACCTGAAGACAATAAATTCTAAGCCGTTTGTCATGAGGAAGAAATAATAAAAAAAAAGGATACTGATCAAACAAAGTCTAAGTGCAACCAATTTAACTTTGTTGACCCAGGGATGCCTTCCATTTGGCAAAATGATGACATGCTAGCTACTGCGCTAGTAGAGCATGAAAGACATTTAAACCCAAGTTTTCTTATTTATTTTGTTTGTCTGTGTTTGGTATCCAGACCTAGTTTACTTCAAAGTAACCTGAGATGCTCCACTCTTTCGACATGCCACTTAACACATTCTGCATTTCCATAATTCTTCAACACATTCAATATCCAAAGTCATTCTCTACACTCTAGCAGAGCAAAAAAAAAACACACAGGTGTCAAGGCAGTTTAGCCTGCCTGCAGATTGCCCAGATATTTAAGCAAGTGTTGCTAGCTTATTGTGACTCGAACCATGGAGGTGTATGAGACTGTTGTATGTGCTGTTTCACAAAATTCCCTGAAGACGACATGATATTGCTTTGATTTATTTGCTATGCCATTCGGAAACTTTGATTCCAGAAATCTTGTCAATTGACTATAAATCTGATTCCAAATTTTGAGAATTGATGAAGCCAATTACAAGAGTGACTTGTTTTCAATCCCCCAAGTTCTCTCCCATCACCCCATTGCTGCACTTCATCCACTAGCTTTCTGTAGCTGCTTGCATCAGATTCAAAACATTGATGCTCTCCTACAAAGCCAAAAACAGACCCCTGCCTTAAGACACCTGTCAAACCCAGTTCTGTACCACATTCCCTTTTGAGCCTGTGGCATGGCTCGACTTGATACACCATCCACGGAGATACAAGGAAGACATGCATCAAGTCTCTTCGCTGTCCTGCACCCAGCTGGTGGAATGAACGTCCCCTGGCTGTCCAAACAGCTGAGTCACTGGCTGTCTTTAAATGAAGACTAATTACCCACTGCTTCATTAAACATTTAAACGAGCACCAATAAAAAATAAATGTTTGTAAATGTTTGCAAAAGTAATTGACTTTATCCGAAATCAGCCTTGTTTTGTTCAAGTTCAAATTTTACTCGGGATTAGGATTTACGGTTTCTCCCTGGAGTAAAATACTTGCCAGGACCACTGATGTTTGTGGTGTGATCAGAGGCATTTGTCAGAGCAACCCTGGCCTTATTTCAAATTCATTCAAATCTATTTCACTGGATGGAATCAACTCTAAAGTTTTAGATTAGTTTTTAATGGAGAATGGGAGACTCATTTGGTATTGGCTCCCAAAATCTTGTGGTTGACTCTTGCCTGGAATGAGATTCTTGGCTCCTCACTTTACTTGTCATAGTTCCTTTTCGGAAATATGAATGCCCTGATAGCGGGCACTTTGGAGGAGGGACATTTTTAATCTGTATGGAGTGTGAATGCTCACTCTACTGAGGATTTCAGGCAGCCAATGGTGAACGAATGAGTGCACACATGCACAGCGAAGAACATCCAGGCAGCTTTCCAGGTGTGATGTGTGACAGTGTCTTCCCAGGGAGCCTGGGAGCAAGTGTGGCCTAATGATTAATGATGCTTAGATTATCGAACAGCTGCCAATCTGCTAGCCCTCAAAAAGCATAAAGCCGAAGGATTTACGCCTCCACAAAGGGAGCCTGGGACTTTTTATAGATGCAGCGCTGAGCTGATTAGGGACCAAGAGATGCATAAATCATAGTTTGGCGGTGAGTCGATGGCACTGATTCATTCATTTATCTCGGAGATCTAACTGTGTATCATCAAACATGGGAGGCCCGCTTGCTTGCAAACAAATACATACAAATGAACATACACACATACATACACAGCAGCACAGTGGAGGAAAGCAAAATGATGTGGAATAGTGCTGGAAGGGTGCAAAAGGGGAAGTGTCGGGTGCTGACGCTGATGCTTTAAATACACTGCAAATAGGAAGGTGTGAACATGCAATTAAAAGGTGACGCTACCGCTCACACATAGCTTCCACACTTCACTGATACTACATCACTCACACACACTCACACACACAGATAACCAGGACAGCTAGACTACAGTGTTATATTTATTCATCATTCTTTTGCCCTTAGAGATAGTGTCCATGCAGGTTCACGGAGACTATGAAAAATAAATCTGAATTAAACTGCAGTTAAAGCAGTTTGTGTGTGTGAGAACGTGATGACATGACCCACAGAGGCTAATTAAAATAGAGAAGCAGCATAATGCTTCAGCTCCTGTGGCTTGAGCGGCACAGCTGGCACCATGGAGGACCTGAGAGAGCAAAGAATCAATTCAGAAAGTCTGGAGGGGAGTTCGCACTAAAACAAGACACACACACACACACGCATAAAGAAACTGAGTTCAGACCAAAGGTCACAGAAAAGCAAGGTCACAAGCTCTCACATACACAAGTACATCCATACAGCTCGGATAATTTCATTCGTAAGAAACACGGACATATTCATACGCAAACGCACGCACACACACACACACACACACACACAAAGCCATAATTGGCCAACTGGACTTTTTCCTTCCAGGCAATCACCTCTCGCTCTGTCTCCCCAACAAACCGTTTAGGAAAAATACATTGGTAAGGAACATATCTTCAACTGCACATCCATATTCACACAGCCACTTCTGGGCAATTGGCACGGTTCTGTAAAAATTAGCATAATGCATGGGTTGCTAACATGCAACTTACAAGGCCATGCTACTTCCAGCAGCACAGGGAAGAACAGGTCAGTCTACCAGGTAAGTCAAAGCTCCAATGTGCTGCCCAGTCTCATGTGATGCTTGCCTGGAAAAGCAATTAACTAAGCTAAAAATGGACAGCTAGCATAATTTAAATTAAAAGTATGACGAGCTAGTCATGTGCATTAATACAGACTGTGGAAAATAAGTGAGTACTTGAACCCTGAGAAGGGCAAATTTATGCAGCCATAGTCAACATTTTGTCTATGAGTTGTGGCATCTGATTAGCGTCTTAATTTCGCTCAGTGAAGTCTTGTGTTAGCATTGCAGCTAAATAACAGTTTTTGTGCTACACTGTACTATATTTTGCTCAGTTTTCTTGCTGTTTCCCATTGTATTCCTGATTCTGGAAAGATTCTATCTAGAATCTGTTAATATAGCCAGTAAAAATAGTTCCTTCTAAAGACCACAGCTTTGGATCACATGCATAGCGCAGCAGATGAGATAAGCAGGAATATTTTTCTTTACCTTGGCCTTTATCTAACTTCTGCTAGGTGTGGTTTGTGCTGCTGGGGTTTAATGTTTTCAGTCTTGTTCTTTGTCAGGTCTACATCATATACGCTATATGGACAAAAGTTTATGGACACTTGACCATCACATCCATATGTGGGCTTTTTCTAAACTGTTGCCACAAAGTCAGAGACACATTATTGTCTAGAAAGACTTTGTATGCTTTAGCGTTAAGATTTCCCTTCAATGGAACAAAGAGACACAAACCCGTTCCAGCATGACAATGTCCCGTGCACAAAGCAAGCTCCATGAAGACATGGTGTGTTCAGGTTGGAGTGGAAGAACTCGAGTGTCCTGCACAGAGCCCTGACCTCAACCCCACTGAACACCTTTGGGATGAACTGGAATACCGAATAAGTTCCCCAGACCTCCTCACCGAACATCAGTGCCTGATCTCTCTAATGCTCTTGTAGCTGAATGAACACAAGTCCCCACAGCCATGCTCCAAAATCTAGTGAAAAGCCTTCCCAGAAGAGTGGAGCTTATTATAACAGCAAAGCGTGGACTAAATCTGGAATGGGATGTTCAACAAGCACATACGGGTGTAAGGGTCAGGTGTCTACAAACCTTTGGCCATATAGTGTATGTTTGAATCTAATGAGAAGAACACTAAAGAACACCTTCATTTAGACCCAGAACATTTCTAGACACCATCTGCAGATGTAACAGTGTTGTATTTCTCTGCTTTCTGCTGCAGTTTTGCTGCAGTGCAGTGATGTATGGATGTATACTGATGCATGCATTTAAACTGTTGTTCTAATATATGGTCCGGCTAGACTGGCTGCCCTTGGTGTTTGTGTGTGTGTGTGTGTGTGTGTGTGTGTGTGTGTGTGTGTGTGTGTGTGCGCGTGTGTGTGACTTGTGAATAATGTATGTGTAAGACTTGTAGAATCTGCTACTGCATGGTTTATTTAATTCTCTCATGAGGCAGTTCTTTCTCCTCATCCACACTCAGCATGCACTCAGTGCCTGTTGGTTTTCCATGTCCAAACTGGGGATGATTAAAGAGGGATTTTTGTCTCCTTTGTAAATTTTTTTCCATTACGACAGGCGTTAAATTAACATGTTACAACTACAAATTAGCCTCTAAATGAGTGGGACTGGCCTCAAGTGAAAAAAAGAAAAGAAGTCATTACCCTGTGGTTACACCACTATGTAGTTAGCAGCAATAAATGATTTGAACTGAACCCTTTAATTTGAGTGGAACCCTTTTAAAATTCCCACTTTGCCCATTTTCGTTTCCTGTTTATAGTCCAACCATGGAAGATACATATCCTGTCTTACAGTAGCAAATGCTATCACACATATTTAGTAACATGCAGGAAGACAGTGCTTATTCTGAGAGAGACACAATAAAGAGATGTACCATGGGGAGAAATAAAAAATATGACAAATGACAAAATAAAGGTAAAATGGTAGCTGCGTTTTTCTGGAGTGGGTTTCATTTATTTATTTTGCTGGCATGGTTTGGGTCCAAGTAGAAATAAAGCATTGCTGTAGATCAATATAAAGTTCTTCTCAGTGATCACCTTTATCCTATTATGAAACATTTCTATCCTGTTGGCCGTGGTCTCCTCCAGGATTAATCCACCCCCATCCACAGAGCACAGCGGGTTCACTGAATGGTTTGTTGAGGATGACAATTGTGTAAATTACCTACATAGTCACCAGATCTGGACCCTGGAGGACTAGTGGTTAAGCCATGGCACGCTCACCGCCATGGCCCGGGTTCGATTTCTGCCCAGGGAACCGCCCCCAGCTACCGGGGGCACGAAAGTCTCTCAAACCAGTTGAACAACTATAGGAGAATTTGGAGTGATGTTAGACAGTGCTCTCCACCACCATCATCAAAACACCAAGTGAGGCAAAAACTTTTGGAAGACTGTGTGTATCATTCCAGAACAGTTCAAGAGACTTGATCTGTAAAATCAGTGCGAAAGTAGTACTGGTAGCTCATGATGGCCCAACAACTTACTAAGACACTTTATATTGTTTTTTTCCCCTTAAATTTATCACTGTGTATTGTTCTAAATAGTGAAATTCAGCAGATCTTCAGTGTATGCCATTGTAAAAATATTACATTGAACTGTTTTCACCAAGTTTACAATAAATATCCACATGAACAGGCCACTTTTCTGGCATTGAATACTGCAAGTCAAATATTTTCTGATTGCTCTCTGCACCCTAGTTGTTGATGGTGCATCTTTTGGGGATTGTTGTAATAGCATAAAGATGTTTGTTCTTTTTATGGGCCAATTTAACTTAGACAGCGCTGAGCCCAATAATGGACATCCATGATTTCATGATATTGACGTCTGTGTGTGATAAGGACAGCAGATAAGTAACATAGCGATAGGACATGACAAGTGATCCTTCAGCCTTTCACGCCCAATTAAAATTCAACCAAATTTATTCCGTGGCAGTGATGCCAAGTGATGCAACTGGAGCTCAAACCTGAATCACAACTTTAGGCTGCACCTTTACGAGGACTCAAATCCTGATATTTTTGGATTCTACATGAATGACAGCTTGATGTTGGAGAGATGCAGTCAGCACATATCTGTTTGAAATGCTTCACTATATCCCAAATATTTCTCCATTTAGGTAGTACAGCTCTGGGCAATGGATTGGTGTTTCTCGTTTCAGAGGCCATGGATAATTAAAAACAAAATTGCTAGTGCTGTCCAAAGTATTCCAGCTGGCTCTAATTATCTAAATAACAAAGTTGGGTTCCCACCTAGCTCCCCATCTTTTAGTTTACGTAAAATAATAATAATAATAATAATAATAATAATAATAATAATAATAGTAGTAGTAGTAGTAATTAGTTTGTGCATCAGACAAAAAGTTGCCAAATGCTTTGAGCCAAAAATCCAAAAGTGGACTTTAACATTAGTTATAAAATGCATAGGCTGCATTTATGTTCACATCTCTGGACTTAACATTTGTGTAAGGAGTCTCCAGTGTTGGTGCTTTATAACAGTCAGAGGTAAAGCTGTAAATTTCACCCCTCCTATCAGATGCTTATAGAGCCACAGTTACATACATACAATGTTTTTTTGTTTTTTTTTAAACTTCAGGTCTTCAGAATGGAGGATTCTTGGTAATGTGACTGTGATAATGTCACCTGACCGTCACACCCATATGTGATTTTTGAACATCCCATTCCAGATTTAGTCCTCCTTTGCTGTTATAATAACCTGTGGGGATTTGTGCTCATTCGGCCACAAAAGCATTAGTGAGGTCAGGCACTGATGTCAGGGGAGGAGGCCTGGGGTGCCATCGACATGTTCAGTAGGGTTGAGGTCAGTTGACAAAATAACATTAAGGGAACGTTTACGTTAATGTTCTTAACGTAAACACTCCAGGGTCCCTGGTTCAATCCCGAGCTCAGATTACTCTCTGTGTAGACTTTCACATGTTCTTCCTGTGTTCCTCCAGTTTGCTCCCACCTCCTAAAAACATGGTGTTAGATGAACTGGTGATATTGGCCCATATGATGCTTGTGAATCAGCTAAAGCCTGACACGTGAAAGTTTCCTCACAGACCTTTGCTTAAGGACTGCTGTAATACACTGGTAGTCATTTCACAGCATGTGTGGGAGTGTGATATTTGTGTGTGTGTGTGTGTTTGTGTACTTCACGCTTTGCCCTTGCACTGGTGTGCGTAGGCGTGTTTGGGATTTCAGACAGCATGTCTGTGTTTTTTCATATGCAAAATAACAATGAGATCATGTGTGAAGTGTGAGTAGCTCAGGGTCATACCACTGCTCTGTGTGTATGTCTGTGTGTGTGAGGACGATGACGGTAATCCTCAAGGACAAGAAATGATGCTTTACTTATTATGCCTCCAACTGTGAGTCGGCAGGCAGATGTGTGTGAGTCACACTTAAACACACACACACACACACACACACACACACACACACACACACATGGATTCATTTAGCTTGTAGTGAAAGAATTCACATTGAGGCTTTATTCAAGACAAAGAGCAATCTGTGAAAATGAAATGCTCATAAAAAGTACTATAGAGGTCAGCTGGTGACATCTTCATAGCTCTACTGTGTTTTGTTGGGGTTAGCAAAAAGATAAGCTATTCTTGATTAAGATTACATGACCTTCCAGCAGATTACGAGATGTCAAGTCAAGTCACCTTTATTTATATAGCACATTTAAAAGACAATGAGTGTCAGCCACAGTGCTGTACATCATCTCAGCTAAATCTAAGCAATGAAATAAAAGACAAATATGATATCAAATGTGATTAAAATAAATAAATAAATAAAAAGAATAAAGGTAAAGCAGTAAATCAAAGAAGAAATAAAACATTAAAAGATAAAAAGAAGAAATAAAAGCATGAATAACAGTCTCCAGATCATTAAATGACAAGACCCATTTTAATAGTTCTCAATTGAAAAAAGCTTCCTCTCACAACTGATTTTACCTGCTTGTCAAAGTGTAGGTCAGAGTTGAAAATAACACCAAGATTTTTTTGCGTAGCTTTGTATATTACTTGACAAGGGCCCCAAATTGTCAGCTACAGATCTTGTGGAGTCTGGATGACCAAATATAATGACTTCTGTCTTGTCATTATTTAACTGGAGAAAGTTTTAGACAGCCAGCATTTAATATCTGCAATACAGTCAAAGAGATTTTGCAGATTTAGCTTAGAAATCATCAGCTTAGAAATGGTAGGAAATGTTGCATTTACAAAAACTAGACAAAAGGGGAAGCATGTATAAAGAGAACTACATAGAGCCCTGAGGTACACCACTGGTACTTGCTGCCGAGGAAGATGAGAAATTACCAATCTTCACAGGAGATTGTCTTTGAGGTAGGAGGCAAACCACTTCAGAATAGAACACATGGGTGGCTTAAATGGATGAAATTCCATAAGCAAGACAGGATACGATTTGTTTTTCCTGAACCGGCATTTCATAATTAAGTTAAATTTAATCAGCCAAACATACTATACTACCATACACCATACATACTGAATATCTCACTCATAAACTGTTGCCAAAAAGTTGGAAGCACGCGATTGTATAGGCTGTCTTTGTATGCTGTAGCATTACAGTTTCCCTTCACTGGAACTAAAAGGCCCAAACCTGTTCCAGCATGACAATACACATGGTTTGCCAACTGGAATGGCCTGCACATGGCCCTGGCCTCAACCCCACTGATTCTTTGGGATGAATTGGAATGCTGACTGTGCCCCAGGCCTCCTCACCCAACATCAGTGCCTGACCTCACTAATGCTCTTGTGGCTGAATGGGCAAATCGCCACAGCCATGCTCCAAATTCTAGTGGAAAGCCATCCCAGAAGAGGGGGGGTTGTTATAACAGAAAAAGGGGGAATAAATCTATAATGGAATATAATGGAATGGAAAGATTGCAGACACAGAAAGTGCAAAAAGCCTCAGTATATGGAGGGAGTTTATTCTACACAGTACAATTTCTGCTTTTAATGTAATAGATTTTGTGAAGCATACTTAATGACTCAATGAATTAAGAACCCACAGCCCAAGAGAAACAGCTAACACTCTCCATATTAATAATTTCAAAACAGGACGTCTTTGTTAAAACATCAGAACCCACATCTCTCTCAAAAAGAGTACTCCAGGTGGCTTATGATGGGACTCCCAGGTTAAATGTTTGCTGCCAAGCCCTGAAGGACATCAGCAGTGTCACCCATGCACCTTGGATTTAGTCATCATGTACTTTCCCTCCAGGTGTGTTGCAGAAATCAGGGAGAGAAGTTCCCAGGATGCAGGGCTTATGAGTGTGTTTTCTCCTCAAACTGCCTGTCAGCCATGGCGCATCCCCATTACACTTGCTCCTCAGACAGCCAGCTGTAATCCTCCTGAATAAACAGAGAAGAGACAGAGAACCAAGAGACAGAGTGAGAAAAGCACACATCTGCTTGACAAATCCGATGCATCTGCAAGCCACCAGATTGAGGAGTAAACAGAGTAAATGGATCACCAGGGATCACTGGTGAAACAGGCCCGAGTAGGAGAAAAAAACTGGACATGTTTCATTATATAAATGATATAAATAACTGCTACCCCTCCTCCTCTGCCATTTTGACGAGGGTGGTGTATATAGCTGGACCCAGGGAGGGTTAGCATTTTTTAAGGCTACATACTCATCAAGTCTAATCCAAATCATAACTTTCTGGTAATGGTTTTAGGCAGATTCAAGGTAGATGGCCTCTGTTTTCAGTCCTTAGATGAAAACAAAATATATATATGATATGATATGTGTGTGTATGTTACCTCTAAGTACAATCATTCATAAACATGGTATTAGCTTCCACTACTAAGATAATGACTTAGCTGGATGCTGAGTTATTTCCTCCTACTTAAGGCTGATAAGGCAGAAGTACTTCTATTAGCACCACAGGCAGCTAGAAGCAAGCTTTGATTACTTAGTAACTCTGGAAGGCTTTTCAGTCACATCATGTGCAGCTGCACAGCATGGCTTCTCACTACTGGTGAGCTGTTGTGCAGCTGAGTGGGACCTTGGCCTGGCAGCCCAGCCCTCAGCCTGTGCAGCATGGCTACTAGCCGTAGGGTGAGCTGTTGTGTTGTGAGCTGGGGCAGTAACCTGGCGACCCCACCCTCAGTGCCAGCCAGGTTTGGGCATCATTAAGAAACACCATCTGGGGTCATATTCTGTATTTCATTTATTACGTTTTAAATTGTTTTATCGTCTTAAATGAAAATTCTTTTTCTAAAGTTTTCA